AAACAGCTTGTCTCGACAGCTTGCAGATGCAGACATATGGCGCCAAAGTAATAAATCTTGAGGGAGATAATGGCCCCCTGCTGAGAAAGAAATCTGAAACCCGTAGGATTTGAGGAGAGCCTGATTCATTGTCTTAACGGTCTAAAAAGACTTCCTTCTTTAGTACTAATTGGTAGTCTGGCAGGCGCCTGTTTTTGGGGTCTTTCGAGTCTTTTTCAGACTCAAATCAGAGTCTTGAGTTCTATGCGGGAGGGGTATATCTTAGCTACCTATAGGTGAATATTAGCCTGAGTGTACACTTAGGCCAGTTTACTAACAAAGTATATTAAGAGATTATGGCCTAATCATATAGTACAAACATCAAATATGCAGTATGCTTTCGAAGTACAAGTGTATGGGGAGGTTTTGTATATTAAATTTTACTCAATTTACTGTTTATTAACGATAAAATATTGCTCTGTAAAAGATTGAAATAGTAGGTCCCTATCTATTTAACGGAAAAGTTGAAATTATGTCTACAGAGTGAAAGTGAAGTACATGGCCTGTACAATAGTAAAGGATTAGCGTTCATCATCACTCTATGCACAATAACCTCGTTGAGACGAACTCATTAAAACTTGTGCCTATGATAAAAAACATTATACAAAACAGAAAATTATGAAACATATGGTCCTCCTGGTCCATAAATTTATGGTTTCCATTGTATGTATTTATAAATATAATGCGATAAATTGGAATCAGGGACGGATACAGGGGGGGAGACGGGGGACATTCGCCCCCTGACAGAATCAGGGAGGGACGTAGCCCCCCTCCTGAATTTGGAATTTTTTGTTCCTATTTTCAGAATAGCTTCTCAATAGCATGCTTAAGGGAAAGAAACCCTAGTGCAAAACAGGAAAAATATCTGTCTTAATAAACTATAATGTGTGAAAAGTTAAAAATCTAGTTTTTTAGTCTTTAGTCATTAATTTTGACTCTTTTTGAGTCTTTTAAGTCAAAAAATTTTTCCCCTCACTTAAATCCTGTATCTGCCCCTGATTGGAATCCTGCCATAACAAAAAAATAAAAATCCAACTTTTAATATGTAAATAAAAGCCTTTGAAACCCCCTAATATTTTGTCTTACCTTTTTTTCCGGAAAAATAGCAGCTTGGTTTTTAAATCGATTAACTTCCTCTTCATTTCAAGTATGGTTTGATGCTCATTCATTAATCAATTATTCAAATTTTCAATTTTTGTTGTATACTAATTGATTATTATAGTGGGGTGGAGTGGAGAGTGAGTAACACCAGTTCTTGTTAGATCACTGAAGTTAAGCACACTTGTCCACAGCCAGGAACTAGATTGGTGTCCAGACTGGTGTTCACGGGTTCGATTCCAGTACTCCACACAAACCTCTGGTTTCAAAAACATCTGAAGCAGACATCTGGGTAAGCAGTTATGACTACAGGATGTAGGAGGACAGAGGGGGGCTGTCAACAACTCTCGCAGCGAAAGGGTGCATGCTTTCTACTCAACAAGAAAGAATCTTTAAGTGGATTGATGAATGATGATGAAGAGAGGAATGGTGGACAAGCAGGGAGAGTCTATGGTTGCCAGCTATAGGTACCTTGAGGTATCCAATCCGGGCTTACAATTAATTGGGAGCAACGAGTATGATGTTTCCTGTCTGAATGGCACCTGGACCTCATCCAGTATATCAGAAGAATTCCTTCCAATTACCTAAGAAGCCCGTAGGCAACTGTAATCTTGTGAACCCTCTTCTCCGTATGAATTAAGCGTGAATGGATGAATTTGCTGCCAGATTACAACCCCTGGTAGATCAATATAAACCCAGACAACACCAAACTTTCGCAATAGAAAAAATTCCGAGATTTGATCGTAACAACCCAATCATGTCCTGGGGACAAACAAATCTCTTTCTTCTATTAGTCTTCAATTTTATTTAACCTGAATCAGATAAAAGGATGATTTTATGTATGTCTTCAAAATATTATTGTAGACTCATAGATCCAGCTGGGTATGCATCTGAATCAACAAATGCTCCAGTCGGATATGCCTCTGATACAACGACTGGTAAATTGGGATATTCTTCTGAATCAACTACTGCTCCAAGTGGATATAGTTCTAATAACAACAAAATAGGAGATTACAGAATTTAAGAGAATCAGCCGAGTCTACAATAATATTTTGAAGACATACATAAAATCATCCTTTTATCTGATTCAGGTTAAATAAAATTGAAGACTAATAGAAGAAAGAGATGTGTTTGTCCCCAGGACATGATTGGGTTGTTACGATCAAATCTCTTTCTTCTATTAGTCTTCAATTTTATTTAACCTGAATCAGATAAAAGGATAATTTTATGTATGTCTTCAAAATATTATTGTAGACTCGGCTGATTCTCTTAAATTCTGGTGACCTAACAGAGTTCATAGTTTAAAAGATCAAAAGGTCTAAGCTAAAAGGGTAAGAAAATTAGAGTTTGTGAAAAAAACTCAGTTCCTTTCCATAATTCTTGACAAAGATTTTCTTGCTGAATGAGGAGTTACTTTTGTTGATTCAGATACATACCCTAGCCTTTTTTTATATCATCAATATTCTTAATGTCTTTATTCCTAGAAACATCCCAAAATGAATTCCGAATTCATGTAAATTTTAAAATGTGTATTGTAAATAATTATTCTTATTTTTAAAGGTACTATATCTTAAACGGTACTAAGAGCAAAGTATGAACTTTTTATTTAGTTTATCTAGGTTCCTATAGGTGTAATCCTACTAGTTTACATAATAATTTTCATCCATAATTTTTGATGAAGATTTTCTGGTTCGATGAGTAGTCTCGATAAAGTAATCATCTCCTTCTTTTTTATCAGAACTATATCCACTTGGAGCCATAGTTGATTTAGAAGAATATCCCACTTTACCAATCGTTGAATCAGATGCATACCCAGCAGGAGAAGTTGTTGATTCAGATGCATACCCAGCAGGAGAAGTTGTTAATTCAGATGCATACCCAGCAGGAGCCATAGTTGATTCAGAAGCATATCCCACTTTATCAATCTTTGTTTCAGAGGCATATCCGACTGGAGCATTTGTTGATTCAGATGCATACCCAGCTGGAGCAGATGTTGTTTCAGATGCATACCCAGCAGGAGCAGTTGTTGATTCAGACGCATATCCAGCTGGAGCAGTTGTTGATTCAGAAGTATATTTAGTTTCATAATATTCAGTAGCAGAATTAAAACCAGAGGGAAAATGTAGGTTTAGTGACATAAAGTAATCATCTCCTTCATTTTTATTAGAACTATATCCACTTGGAGCCATAGTTGATTCAGAAGCATATCCCGCTTTAGCAGTTGTTGTTTCAGAGGCATATCCGACTGGAGCAGTTGTTGATTCAGATGCATATTCAGCTGGAGCATTTGTTGATTCTGAAGCATATCCGGCTGGAGCAGTTGTTGATTCTGAAGCATATCCGGCTGGAGCAGTTGTTGATTTAGATGCATATCCAGCTGGAGCAGTTGTTGGTTCAGATGCATACCCAGCTAGAGCAGTTATTGATTCTGAAGCATATCCAGCTGGAGCAGTTGTTGATTCAGATGCATATCCAGTAGGAGCAGTAATTATTTCAGAAGCATATCCAGGTTTCTTTATAATCTTATAAGTACCATCTGGATTAGGAATTGCATATGGCTGGAATCCATAATCTGATCCTTTTACTTCATCTATAAGTAAACTAATCATTTTAAATGCAAGGTAATTTCCCAAAGCAATTCCTAGCGGCAACTTCCAAAAGGTATTTTTCCAAGTGGCAACTTTCTAAATTGCAATTTCCCAAGCAGCAACTTCTCAAGTCTTATACCAGCTGCAGCGCTTGGCCCCTTAGCCCATCCTAGGCGCAGCGCTTTGGCCCCCATTGCAGCCTTCCACTGCATTTGGAAAGTTACCACTTGGAAAATTCTCACTTGGAAAGTAAACCTTAGAAAACGCCTTTGGGAAAATACTTAACACTTTTTTATATTATATTTCGGTTTCCTTTCAGAGGAAAAAAAATTTAAATAAAGAAACCATTGATTTAAAAATTAGTTGTTTGCAGAACCTCTCATTAAATTTCAGCATTTATTTTTTTTGTGACGACAACATTTGCAGCACTTGATTTCTAAACAACAGGATAAAAGACGTATTGTGGACTAATTATGAATATGTTGTTTCTGTCGAAAAGAAACTGATTAGTTTTTTTGTAGCTCATGGAAATTTTGTATTTATAAGTTTTAATCATTTTTAAATTTTGTAAATTCAAAATTGTCAAATTTTTATAATTTTTAATAGTAATTTTCTGTGATGTATACTAAGAAAAACGATTGAAATGAAAGTATCACTTAAAAGTAATACCTTTATCAGACCTCACTGGGACATTTTTGTCGAATTTCTTCAACCCTTCAAAAGAATTTAAAGTAATAATTTTTGTGATGATTTTTTTTCTTTACAATTTTTTTAGCAAGAAAGAAAACATTTATTTTGCAAGAAAGAAAACCAAGAAAATCCACAAAATATAATTACCGTAAGGGACTGCGGTTTGAGGGAGGGAAGGCCAAGCAGCCATGAACCCCGTGGAAAAGTCTCCGAAACTCTGCAGAAACAGTCTCCGAACCCCGTGGAAAATCTCCGAACCCTGTAAGGAGCAAAAAATGTGTTATTCTGGGGGAAATCGCATGATTTCTGAATTTTTTTCAACATATGGCACAGGATCAAACAAAAGTATTACTAATAAATGCAATTTTGATCTTATTCACGGCCCTAGTATATGTTTATTTTGTATTCCTGTTTTAAACTTAAACTTTAAAATGGACCTACGCAACAACGCACAATATTTTTAGTATTTCAATGATATTTTTCATGAAAATGCAATAACATGTTTTAACGTAGTCCACCACTTTTTTAATTCCCGTCATCAAAGGGCAGTTTTACTCCATAATATCATTTTTTACTGTCTCCCCTTTAAAAGTGACCTACGCTGTAATTATTATATCTACACACGCAATATTTCTTTAACTTGATTATTATATTTATTGAGTCCATATGTCGAGAAAAATGGAAAATTATTGCTAATTTACAAGTAATATTTATATTTGATAACGTTTTTTTCAAAAAACCTCCTCCACGGGGTTCGGAGACTCTCCACGGGGTTCGGAGACCATTCCACAGGGTTCGGAGATTTTCCACGGGGTTCCTGGCTTCTTGGCCTTCCCTCCCTAGCGGTTTACGTAATTTCAAGTGACAATCCACAAGGGGCGTGTTCAATTCACAATTTAAACATTTGTATAATCAAAGAAACCTAAAGTATCTTCCTTCTTCTATTTAAACTTTATATTTTCTAATTGTTTTTTGTTGTAAAATGCAGCAGACAAACATTGTTATTTACAAAATTCAACACTTTCTAAAATGGAAACATGAGGATATCATTCTTATTGTTGCTCAGTACCATTGTGAATTGAAAATGCAACTCTCAAAATGGAGGATCACTTGAAATTACCTTCAAATTCATTAAACAAGAGGGGAGATGAAAAATGAATATACCTGTAGTTTTAATCAAATATGTTTTAGCATTCACGTTTGCTGCCAGGAAGCAAACCACTGTAAAGATAAGTGCAGATGCCATTCTTTAGAGAACTCTACATATAATCATAAAATAAAACATGGTAATTAATGATTTTTGCTAAATTACTGTTACAAGTTTGTTATCTGGTCGTTCATCAATTCCTTATGAGGAAAGCAAATTTATATGGTTGCATTATTGCATATTAGAAATTTAAAACTCTACAATACCTGATAATGCACTGTTCCACACTAACAGTGGAAAAACAAGAGAAAATAACTTTTAAATTAATCAATAATGAAAACTTAAATTTGCTGATTAGCAGGAAAAAACAAACAAATTTTTCTTATTTAATCATTGTAAACAATTTGTTATTTTGTAAAAAAAAACTGTTTGAATTGATGACATGGCATTTCAAAATCATCAAAAGATCTTTCAAAATATTATTCAACGCTTGTTAATCAAAACCTTTTTGACCGTGAACAGGCTGGGGGGCGCTCCCCACCCCTACAGTATTTTTTGTCCTAGTACACTCATTTTTGACACTATGACCGTAACATTTTGTTACTTTTAAGGAATTATTTAATTTTAAAAACATTTTTTTTATGTATGGGGTAGGGTACAGCCACGGGGCAGTCAAAAGTCTGGTCTGTGTAAAAATATCTAAAATAGTTCATACTTTTTTTTGTGACTTAAGCTACAGATCTAAAAATTATACTTTTGAAAAGCCTTTGAAAAATGCATGTTATAGAAACACATTAATATTTACAGGGTGAATCTATCGAAATTTAAAATTTTTGAAGATTAGATCACAGAATCACAGTAAATTGTAATAAACTGTAATGAGAAAATTCGCAATTTTCAGTTCTGGTCTAATTTTTAAAGAAAAGATATTTGAATTCTCTAGTTCCTTTCTTTCTAGTATATTCTAAAGTTAAAAATATATGCTGTTCAGTTGAAACCTAAAGAACCATTGAAGACAACTTTTCCTTAAAAATAAGAACAGGACTGAAAATTGCGAATTTTCTTATTACAATTTCGCCAATTTTCTGTGAGTCTGTGATTCAATCTTTAAAAAATGTTAGATGTTGATAGAAATAAATTATATACACATTTTTGCTTTTCTGAACTTTTGATTTTGAGAGAAAAAAGGCTCGCGGTTTTTTTTAGCAAAAATTTTGAAAAATCACAAAACAGGAGAGTTGCACAAAAAAAGGTACGCGTACTTTTTCACCAGGCGCCGTAAATCACACTTTTTTACTGTCCCAGTATACATGGTTATGAAACTGCAGAGAGGACAATACAGAATTTAATGTACAACATTATGACATGACAACCAACTTTTTATAATAAAAGTATTTTTTCTAAAGAAAAAACAATTTTATGTGGTGTTCCTCAGGGAAGTGTTCTTGGGCCCCTACTTTTTCTCATATACATAAACGATTTGCCTTTAGCAACGTCTTTTTTTACTAATCTATTTGCTGATGACACTAGTTTTCTAAAATCATCTCCACATATCGAAACTTTAGTAATTGATGCGAACTTTGAACTAAAAAAGGCAGCTGCATGGTTTCAGGCAAACCGTTTAACACTAAATGTTTCCAAAACAAAGTTTATGATATTTAGGAATAAAAATATGCATTTTGATCCTGAGAACTGCAAATTAAAAATTGGAAATGAGATACTAGAAAGAATAGGAACTGACTGTACAAATAAATATTTCAAATTTGTTGGACTCAAAATTGATGAATTTTTAAATTGGGACTATCAAATTGAACATGTTTCCAATAAGATTGCTAGCTCAATTTTTGCTCTGAATCAGATTAAAAACACTTTACCGTTAAACATTCGTCTACTAGTCTATAATGCACTTGTAAGGCCACATATTGAGTATGGAATTATAACATGGGGGGGCGTAAAAAATGCTAAACTACAGAAAATCAAGTCTTTGCAAAAAAGGGCAATTAGAGCAGTAAATAATAGTTCATTTAAGGCACATTCAGATCCAATATTTTTCAGATTAGAACTCCTAAATCTTGATGATACATATAAACTAGGTGTTTTATCTTTTATGCATAAATACTTTTATGAAAACCTTCCAGCTTCCTTCCAGGATATGTTTAATTCTTTAGCTGAACCAAATAGAACAAAATCATATAAACTTGAACGAGTTCTCTTTAAAACCCTAGAATGTTTTCCCTCTGCCCTATTTCCTAAAATATGGAATTCGATTGAATTAGAGCTTAAAGAAACTAAATCTGCAAAATCGTTTAAAAGAAAAGTCGCCAAGATCTATTTAGATAGTTATGCAAATTATATCTGTAAAAAAAAACGGTGTATCATGTGGATAAACTTAGTCTTCACTATCTTCTTCACCCTGTAGTTCATAAACATGATTCTAATAACTTATGTTACCCTCTATTCCAACCCTTACGCTGAGTATCCTCCCTTTTCTTTATACTCCCTCACCTCCTCCTTACCTTTTACCTGATTTATTATCATTCTTATGTTTAAAATGTACAATGTACATTGTTTTTATCTGCAATTCTCATTCGTTTATAGTGGGCCAACCAATTAAAACAACCTACTCTGGTTAGGCGGGTCCAAACTACATAGTAAATTGTGATTTTTTTATTTGTATTATCTCGTGCTTTGTAGTTGAATAAAAATATGAAATATGAAGTATAGATATATATTTTTTGTATCATCAAATCTTCGCTTCTCAAATACTTTATTAAACAAACAGAAACTTATACATTTATTAAATCTATTAGTTTTCAGCAACAACAACAGGGTTTGGCTAGCTTGGATTTAGCAAGTTTAAGTTCTTGAATGTTTTCATTAACTTAGGTACGGGATTCATTACAGATGATGATCTTGTAGATGTACATGAAGTACTTGAGGCAGGATTTCCCCATGTCTAATCTCTTTTTATCACTGAGATGTAGCATGTTGCAGGCTTTATCTTCACTGTAATGAGTTTTCTTGACTCCTACCTTGGAGGCCGGACTTTCTCTAGGACCTATCTTTACTCCTTTCTTTTGTGTAAATTTTATTTTATTTTGAGCTCATTAAAATCAATAATGTTTTTTTTTCTTCAAAATTGATATGATATTGGAGAGGTGTCTTCAAACATTCACAATCTTTTATATTTTATAACTTTTTCCAGACTCTGTTATCATAGGACTCAAAGAAGTTCGTAGTAAGATATCGATTCTCCTGGAGACCACCGGAGGGATTTTATATTCACTTGAGGGGTTGGAAAAAATGCTTTTCACAATTTAAAACTTTACGCAGGGTGATTTACATTCCAGTGGAGGGATTCAGATATCTTTCCAGGGGGTTCCTCCTGGGGGTGTGTAATTCCACAGGAGGGATTCAGATATCTTTCCAGGAGTTTATAATTCCACTGGTGAGATTCAGTAATCCTTACTGGTGGTTAAAAATTCCACTGGAGGGATTCAGAAATCCTTCTCTATGAATATATAATTAATAATTCCACTAAAGGGATTCAAATATCTATCTAGGGGGTTATTTATAATTCCACTGGAGGAATTCTCATATATATATTTAGGGGGTTTATAATTCCACTGGAGGAATTCTGATATATATATTTAGGGGGTTTATAATTCCACTGGAGGGATTCTGATATATATATTTAGGGGGTTTAGAATTCCACTAGAGGGATTCTGATATATATATTTAGGGGGTTTATAATTCCACTGGAGGAATTCTGATATATATGTTTAGGGGGTTTATAATTCCACTGGAGGAATTCTGATATATATATTTAGGGGGTTTATAATTCCACTAGAGGGATTCTGATATATATATTTAGGGGGTTTATAATTCCACTGGAGGAATTCTCATATATATATTTAGGGGGTTTATTATTCCACTGGAGGAATTCTGATATATATATTTAAGGGGTTTATCTCCATATCATATCCATTATCTGATCCTTTCACTTTATCCAAGATAAACAAATGATTGAATATTTGTAATTTCAGTTTGCAGTCTTTGTAAAAAACAACAGTGTTTTTTCAATATATTTATAAAAAAATGTTTGGTTTTCTCATTCAAAAACTAAAAAACTGACATAATTTCCGGAGCTAACAATTAAAGGAAAGGACTGGCCTTACGCCTTCTGATTGGTTTTGAAGTTAGAGATGAGTGAGTTGCTTCAGAGGCATATCCAATTGGCTCCGTAGTTGCTTCAGAAGCATAACCAATTGGCTCAGTAGTTGCTTCAGAAGCATAACCAATTGGCTGGGTAGTTGCTTCAGAAGCATATCCAATTGGCTCGGTAGTTGCTTCAGAGGCATATCCAATTGGCTCGGTAGTTGCTTCAGAAGCATAACCAATTGGCTCAGTAGTTGCTTCAGAAGCATATCCAATTGGCTTGGTAGTTGCTTCAGAAGCATATCCAATTGGATCAGTAGTTACTTCAGAAGCATATCCAAATGGCTCGGTAGTTGCTTCAGAAGCATAACCAATTGGCTCAGTAGTTGCTTCAGAAGCATAACCAATTGGCTCAGTAGTTGCTTCAGAAGCATAACCAATTGGCTCAGTAGTTGCTTCAGAAGCATAACCAATTGGCTCAGTAGTTGCTTCAGAAGCATAACCAATTGGCTCAGTAGTTGCTTCAGAAGCATAACCAATTGGCTCAGTAGTTGCTTCAGAAGCATATCCAATTGGCTCGGTAGTTGCTTCAGAAGCATAACCAATTGGCTGGGTAGTTGCTTCAGAAGCATATCCAATTGGCTCAGTTGCTTCAGAAGCATATCCAGGTTCATATCCATAATCTGATCCTTTCACTTTATCTAAAATAAACAAATGATTTAATATTTGCAATTTCATTCCAAAGGAAAAAAAGTCTTTGTGAAATACAACAGTGTTTTTTTCAATATGTTTACAAAAAAAAGTTTGTTTTCCTCATTCAAAAACTAAAAAGCTGATATAATCTTTCTAGAGCTGACATTTTAGAAGTAACCCCTGCCTTAAGGCTTCTAATTGGTTAGGAAGGTAGAGATGGTTGAGTTCGTTTTTTCTTCATTTTGTTTGTTCATTGTTTATAAACAACTCTTTTTGTTTTGTTTTTTTATCAAACGTTCAAAAAATAATTTCATTTGTTTTAAACTGTTGTTTATTTTTATCTATTTCATTCTTTTTCTCACTGAACGATCCTAGGGTAAAATCGTTTGTTCAGTAAAACTGTTTGTTCAGTAAAACTGTTTGTTCAGTAAAACTGTTTGTTCAGTAAAATCGCTTGTTCAGTGAAATCGTTCATTCATTTTAAAAAAAATGTTTGCTGAACGACACCATTAAGTTCATGACAAATTTTGTTTGTTTTCAAAAATTTTGTTCGTTCGCAAAACCTACGACTATCTCTTGTTCTGATTTGACCAATTAGCAACTGCTTTCTTATTGTGGTCTGCACAATCAGCTGATAAAAGGCAGATTTACTCAATTTAAATTTCGAAACCTCAATCTTCACAAATATTCATGATTTGTAGAACGTTTTTAAATAAACTATAGCCAATTTTGTTTCACCAGATAATTCCAAAGATTTAAAATATAAAAATATCGTACTTTTTAGGTCGGTTGTACCTACAATCAAGTAACGCTAAAACTTGGTCTTAACTTGAGCATAAATAAACGTTTTAAAGCCCGAGTTTACTCGGAATTAAGCTTTTATATCTTAGCTCAATTGTTTTTAAAAGTTTTCAAATGGAAAAAAATAAACTTTGAGAAGAAAATTTGAAATATTTCAGAAGATTTAATCTTAATTATAATTATCCCTATTGTACTGGAATCAGTCATGTGATGTGAAAGTTTATTGTTCACGTGACCGTTTAGTAAAATTAAATATCTGGCAACGACGACATTTGCAGATACCTCAGGTCTCAAAAACATCCCTTAAGCAAATTTTGACTTATTTTGAACATTTTGTGATTATATCTTCAAAACTACAATTTTACGAAACATGTTATAAAACAGTCTTGTATAATTCTAATAAATTGTAAATTGTAATAGTTAATTTTCCTAATGTACACGTACAGTGGAGGTATTTATAATTATATCAATACAATAAAGACGAATTTTCAATTTAAGTTTTAATTTCAAGCAAGCTTTTTGTAATAATTACAAGTTTACAAGTAAACAAAGAGAATCTATTGATTGGCAGCTTCTCTTTGTTTCTTATGTTGCTTGAAAGCCTGGAAAAAAAAAAACAAAAATTGAAAAAGAAAGGTGTTTTCATTGTATTGATATATACGACGGCGACTGAATACAAAGAAAAAAATTAACTAATTAAAAGCTAAAATACCTTTATCAGACACCTCAGGGACATGTTTGTCAAATTTCTTGAACCCTGCAAAAGAATTTGAAAATATCTTTTTTGATGGCGGATTTAAAGAGTTTCAAAAAATGCATAATTTAAATTCTTTTCACAACCTTTTTGCAAGAAAAAAATAAATCTGCAAAAATGCTCTCAGGTAATGTCACCTTCCTCTCGATTATAACAGTGCTCTTGAAACCTTTGAGCAAAAAATATGGAGGCTATTTTCTATCTTAAAAGTAATTTTTCCTTTTTCTGTCTTCTGTAAAATGCAAGAGACAAAGAACGTAATTTACAGAATTCAACCCTTTTTGAGATAAAAACTACGATATTTGCCCAACTGTTGCTCAGAAATAAGGATGCTAACAGCAACTGTTGTGAATCGGGGATTACTTGAAATGTATTATTTTATTTCTATAATAAATTACCCTTTTTTCATTAAAAGAAATCAATGCGCTACACGCCCTCTAAGTCTAGTATTAAATATATTATACCTGAAGTTCTAACCAAATATGTTTTAGCATTCATATTTGCTGCCAGGAAACAAACCAGTGTCAAGATTAGTATAGACGCCATTCTTTAGAGAACTCTCTATATATATAATCAATAAATATTAAAACATTAAAAAAGAAAGGAATTGATTCTATGCCACAAAACTCTAATAGTATAATCCCTATATCTTTGCAACCAAATGTCCAAGACCTTAGATATTTTAAACTTTGAATAATCAAATAATCAAAGGGATTAGAAAATTTGAGTTCATGACAACGTCTCAATTCCTTTCAAAAGATCTTTGCTATCCAAGCCTTCTAATAAAAATAGTTTATTCAAATTTGTAAACTTCAGAGACGACAGTATATACAGAATTTAATATTCAATTTTATTTACATTTATGACAGGACACTGACAGCCAGCTGCATACTTTTTATCCACTGCTTGTTTCATTAACGGTATTTTCCGTTTTGCTTTTAAAGTTACCGTTAGTTATTCCGTCGTTACCGGTTGGTTTTGAAAAACGGTTTATCAAATTGAATTTACTGCACAAGCCGTTACAAAATTGAAAAAAAAATCTTTAAAAGTTCCATCATATAAATAAGACTGAAGACTGAAGACTGAAGACGACATTTAAAACTTTAAATACATCTTAAATTTTTTTCATGCAATTTTTGCAAAAAAATGTGCCCTTAATTTTTTTCCAAAAAGGCTATAATTGTTAACGATTTAAAAATTAACAGTTTTTTTCGTTCGTTAACGGACTCTTCAGTTATTTTTCGAAAACCTCTGTTTTATAAACGGAACTTAGTCCCCCCCCCCCCCTAGATTTAATGGGCTGAATCAGAATCAAATTTGGATTTAATGGCTCAGTGCGAAATTTGAACTGAATGAATGTGCTAATTTATTTTATTTTGAGCTCATTAAAATCAATAATGTTTTTTTTCTTTCTGCAAAATTGATATGACATTGGAGACGTGGCTTCAAACTTTCACAATCTTTTTTATTTTATAACTTTTTCCAAACTCTGTTTTTATTACAATTGAATTAAGAAAAAAAAACCTTTTTTTAATACATTTTAAGAAATCGTATTGTTGTGATCAATATATCGAAAATGACTGAGGAAATTACTTTTGGTAGAAATATTTTTTTAGGTTTTTAATTAATTAAAGAAATATATATATTTGAAAGAGTTTTAATAAAATCTCAAACAGTTAGAAAAAATCTACTGAAACTTTAAGAAATTTTTTGAATTATTTTGTAAAACATAGAGAAAAAACTATTAAGAAAAGAAGGAACTTAATGATATTTTAAATGGGACATTTCTATAAAACGATGCTCGTAGCTCCCCTAGTTATGATTTTATGCAAGTGAAAGAAAAATAATTTTATTTGATTAATTTGACGTTGGCGATAAAACTTTAAAAAAATTAATAATACCTGATGAGTGATGCAGCACTGTACCTACTCAGAATACAATTTAAATTAATCGATAAATTAAAAATTGCTAATTAGTAGAAATAAACAAATTAAGAAAATATTTTCCTTATTAGAGAATTACAAACAATTTGTTGTTTTGTAAATAAAACTGTTTAAATGGATAAAATTTTATCCCAAAATTATAAACTTTCGAATTTTTATACGACGCATTCTTTTGAGTTCAAAATAAAAGATAGTTGATAATTAAAATTTTTATTTATTTTTAAAGGGAGTGTTTGCCAAAAATGAAAGTGGGTATAGGCCTAATGCAATAAATCTTACTAATCTTACTTCTATCTGTTGCGTCTATAAGGAGAAAATTGTTAAAAACGTCTCAATCTCATACCGAATATCATTAAGATATTACAACCTATAGTCGTCGATTATCTTTCGCCAAATTTGAATATAGTTTATATTTTATAATATTTTTTTAATTAATTTGTTTTGAATTTGATTATTTCTCTTGTCGCTTGCGCAACTATCTAAGAATGCCGCGAACCACTCACATTTTTCGAAATCAGTTAAAAACGTTTTTTAAAAAAATAAAATATTATAAAATATAAACTATATACAAATGTGGCGAAAGATAATCGATGACTATAGGTTGTAATATCTGAATGATTTGTTTGAAAAATCCGTTAAAAACGTTTTCTAAAAAAATAAAATATTATAAAATATAAACTATATACAAATGTGGAGAAAGATAATCGATGACTATAGGTTGCAATATCTGAATGATTTGTTTGAAATTAAGTTGATTCTTTTACGGATTAAGTCGTATGTTGCAATTTTCTCAATTTGTATGGACACTAAGTTATTCGGTATGAGACGTCTTTAACAATTTTCTGCTCATAGACGCAACAGATAGAAGTAAGATTAGTAGCGATCAAAAGCGCTTTTTATCGCATTATAATGCCTATACCCCCCTTTCATTTTTCGCGAACGCTTCCTTTGAGAAGAAAAAAAATCTATTATGAAATGAAAAAAAAACACTGCCTTTTTCCCTTTTGATACCTTTAACAATTTTGGCACTATTAGCGTAGCAATTTTTAACTTTAAAAAAAGATGAAAATTAAACAATGAACATGCATCATGCAAAATCATATTTGTGAAAATGATATATTTATGTTTTTGCAAAACACTGCCTTTATTCTGTAAATCTCAGTCTGGTCTCTGGCAATTACAAGATGTTATAAAACAAACCAGTTTTTCACATAACCATGTTTAGAGAAGGGGATTGAGTTTTGGTTCGATTGTAAATATATAAGGTTTAATTTCTAAAATAATGATTATTGTTTTCTACATAAGTTTGCTCTTTTTAAAAAATTTCAAATAATGAAAATTAATAAAATGAAACGATTAAACAAATTTTGTTTCAATTTTTTGCTTTGTCCTTATCTTTCTATCTAATAAAGCTCTTTGATTATATATATTTGTATGTATATATGTTAGCTTTTGGGCTGACATTTTTTGAGGAACCCATGGGTGCCCGGTGAGCAACAGGCCAAAAATCTAAATTTCTTTTTCCACGGGCAACGTCGGGCAGTTCGCCTTGCATCTTACATTATCAAGCCCAAGATTTAAATAATTCAGTAAAAGCATATTTCAAGAACGTCCATAATATTTTGAAATTTAATAAACATCTCAGAATGTTTGCGATGTGGAGCCTCTTAATTGTTCACATATTTCAAAATACACATAGTTCTTACATTTAGGATCAAAAAGTGATATTTACGTGTGGCACTAAGCGTCAGATCGAATGTTTAGAAACAAGCTTTGGTTTCCTGCAAAAAAACCTTGGTTTTATAATAAATACGTTGTGGACTTTTTCGATGCCTCAAGCAAAATAGCGCAAAAAATTCTGATTCTAATCTTAAAAATAAGAGTGTGTGTTTTTAAATAGGTAAAAATCCCTTTGAACGCCAAAATTCCATGCATGCGAAAAAAACGAAGAATAAAGATGCCCATCATTAATTCCTTGGTCAAGAAACCAGAAACTATTGCAGCAGTAGTTGTTTGCCTTCATAAAGTAAGAGTGAGTATTGACAGGCTTTCAGTGTTTTTCTATTTTGAATTTTATTTTAAATTTTTTTTTTGGATAATGTGCAATTGTACGTACATCGTTCAGTTGACTTTTTGGCTTTTATCGACTCATCTGTGCTTGTTTTTTTTAAGGGAAATCTAGCATCTTTTTTCATTACATAGTGCCAGAACTTTATTTTTCATTACCCATTGGGGAGATGGACTAGAGAGAGACAGGAAATACCTATATTTTTCGAGAAAATTAAAGACTGTGTTCTTTTAATAAAATGGTGGGCAGAGTATAGGACTAGACTGTGTTTGAAGAAATACTGTTAACGCAGGAAGGAACTTTTAATTTCTAAATCTTCGGATCAAGGAAGAGTCGGATTTCCAATCTTTAATAATTTTTTTATGTTTAGAAATGAGGAACTCAGTTGCTCCATTATTTGCAGTGTTGAGCCTAGTTCTTGTCAGTTCTCAAGATATAAATTTCGGGGACTCTAAACCAGAGGAGGAGCAGGAGGGAGATACTCAGGTTAGGTCTAAACCAGAGCAGGAGCAGGAGGGAGATACTCAGGTTAGGTCTAAACCAGAGTAGGAGCAGGAGGGAGATACTCAGGTTAGGTCTAAACCAAAGCAGGAGCAGGAGGAAGATAATCAGGCTCGCAATTGTCACGTTCAGTGAAAAACTGATTATTTTCTTTATCAATGTCGTCTTCTAAATTTCCTTCATAAATATCGTCTTCTTTTCAGTAATTCTCAAATATATTGTGTTTAGACGGATACGAGACTGCTCGGAATCATCCCTGGCATAACGAGTGGAAACGCTGAGACAGATAATCTTATCAATGGTAAGAAATCAGGGAACAGTGATAAAAGGAAAAGAAATGGCATTGGTCTGCAGAGGCGCAACTAGGACTTTTGCTAGGGGGGGGCATTATATTATTATGTAATGGTAACATTTGATATTTCAAACTTGGAATATTTTACCAAAAGAATTCAAAGTTTGATATCTACGAGTACTATAAACTCAACACAAATAAAATACAGTTCAGAACTTTTTTTTACATTAAATGTTTACGATAGCCTTTAGCCTTGAGAATTGAGAAAGATAAAAATATTTTTTTAAAACTAACTATAGTATAATAAAAACAACAACTCTATTGGTTTTCTTATTCCTGTGATACTGATTTTCGCCATTCTTTTTCTTTTCATTCTGCAGGGGGGGGGCGCGCCCCCCCTCTCAGGTGCTAGGGGAGGGCGCGCGCCCGGCCGCCCCCCCCCCTAGTTGCGCCTCTGTTGGTCTGGCATGAGAAAGCCAGTCGCACTGCTTTGCAGACTTGTACAGTAAACCTTACGCACACTCTTTTGGTACAGACACACACACATGACGTTTCCGCCCCCTGTAAGAAATATACAGTAACAACATCTTTTTAACAAATAACAAAACAGAGGACAATGAGAGACCGTCCTGTTTTTGTTCTGATTATGAAATGTTGCAATTTTTAACTGATATAGTTCTTGAAATTCAATCATAAAATCCAATGACATTTCTTAAGTAAAATGGAAACAAAAGAATTTAAAATCATTCAAACAAACCTCAAAAAAATATTACTAAAATAATAAATTCCCCGAAAGATTAGGAAAAATAGTTTTTTTACTTAACGAGCGATTTTTCTTACCTCAAGATTTTAATGACTAAACAATTTTTCTGAATGATTGTCAATGAGAAAACAAACTAAATAGATGGAAAATGAACAATAATTTTGAGAACGAACAAAATAATTTGTTTTTGAATGATTGAAAAAAATACCAACTAAATGAAACATTCACGAACGATGAACTAATGAAATGAAAAAATCCAACATGTCCATTTCTACTCCTGAGTGGAGAACTCCTTCATTTAGATTACCTGAAACATGTTTGTGATTGTTCAGGAACCAGATGTTATGAATAGGAGAAGTAGTTGAACTACTTAGAATAGATTCAACTATAACTTCTCGCAATATATTCATTAAATCTGGTTTCAGGTGGTTTACTTGGAGCTGGTTTAGTAGGAGGAGCTGGTCTTCTCACTGGAGCCATTCAAATACCTTGCGGTAGAAGGAAAAGACAGGTTATGCAAACAGATACTTGAGTTAGAGTAGATTTGAACTTCACTCTTGTCATCCAGAAGTATAATTTTAGTCAAGGTTCAAAATGGAGTTAGACTCTGATATAGTTCTGCGGGCCACACCTCAATGTATCACCAATTATTGAACCTCTTTTAAAGTTCATTCACAAAGTAGGGGGAAGGCAAGCTACCATCTCGCAATTCACAAAGTAGGGGGGAAGGCAAGCTACCATCTCGCAATTGACTCGTAAAAACGTAGATTTGCGGCACTGTGCTTATAAATATATATTCCTTTTTGGAATGCTCTTGAATAGGCTACCTCAGATCCCTGGTATCCCATGAAATCTCTGAAAACCCTGAACACCCTGAAAACCCTAAAAACCGTAAAATATCTGAAAACCTATAAATATATAAAACAAACAATAAATGCATGAAAGCTTTTTGACCCCACATAAACATAGAAAAACATGAAATTTGCAAAACAAAATATAATGATTAATTACAGGCTGATGGAACAAACACTAAATTTTTTGGTAATAACTGTAACAACCCTTGTGGTCGAAGAAAAAAACGACAGGTTAGTTACAAACTAAATACAATGGTGTCCCACCTAAAATAATTATACAGGAATAATTCTTGAATTGTATATCAGCATATACAAAAAGATGCCAAAAGTAAAAAAAAAACAATTTATACTTTAACGATTCAATTTCAAAGAGAATCCAGGTAATCCAATGCAAGTTTGGGGGCTCTTTTTAAGCACTTTTTTTATGCACTGCATGTTCCAAGCTATCTTTAATAGAGGGGAAACTTTGGGTGTTTGATAAAGTGGATGATATTTTGCGACTGAATTCTTGCTTCAAACCACTGGGACTGCTTTTCCCCAGAAAAATTTGACCAGACTTGAACATTTTAGGCAGATAATGAAGAAGATGATACTGTAAATGAAAGATTTTTTCTTCCCGGGGGTAACAACAATTGCGGAGGAGGATTTAATACAAACAGTTTTGGAAACAATGGCGGGTTTAATAATGGCGGATTCAACAATGGTGGATTCAACAATGGCGGTTTTAATAATGGTGGATTCAACAACAACAATGGGGGATTCAACAATGGTGGATTTAATAACAACAATGGTGGATTCAACAATGGCGGATTTAACAATGGTGGATTCAACAATGGTGGATTTAACAACAATGGCGGACTGGATACTGGATGTGGCTGTCAATGCCGACCTGATATATTTTTTGAGTCAAATGGTCGTATTCAAGGAAACTGTAGAACTCCTGACAGTACAGGTAAAAACAACATAATTCCACAGCTGTAACAAAAGATTATTTCCTATACATAAAAAAAATTGGCTTAAACATTTATAAGAACATTTAAGCAGCCCTGTCTAGTTTAACTACATCTTACTACAATTTATTCACAGGTCGTCTTTGGTGCTACACAACTGGATATGAGGGAACATGTGGTGATCTTCAGCCCTCTAAAAGGTAAAATCTTAAATTAGTAAAAACTTCGAAGAAGGAAGGTGTAGAAATAACACATACAATTCATACACAGGGAAATCTGCTGCTTAGCTGTCATTTTTAGCATACTGGACTAACATTCATTTGCAGTGTGCTGAGTATTGAATTATAGACATAATTGAATTCCAAATAGAAGAAACCGAATGCAACTCGCCTTGGTTAGTCCAAGTTTTATTAGGGTCCTCAGCGATAAAAATCCACAGGCGGTCATACAAGGTATGCTTTGCTAGTGGGTCAGTTGTGATACATGCTGTTTTAGTGGTTGTTTGCAGTATATATAGGATAGCGGTATTTGCAGTGTACTGGGCTAGCGGTCATTTGCAGAATTCTGAACTAGCTGTCTTTTGTGGTTGGCCTTGGCTCAATCGTTGAAACTCAAATAAAACCTTCACTTTAACTGTTTTCTAGGTGTTGTTAGCTGTAAACTCAAAGATGGTGCACAAAGCAAAGTCTTTGGGTAAACTGGGCAAGCAGGCATTTGCAATATACTGCAACAGCCATCATAAGATAATTTTCTTCCTTAGGTTTCCACAGAACCCCTGGTCATACAATGCTTGCAATGCTCAACTTCAATGCCGCACTACTAATTCTAGAACTGTTGCCAGGTTGGTTTATTCAAAAAGAGGTGGTCTTATCTAACTATCCCTAGCTATTTCAACTCCAGTGACACCAATAAATCTGCTGAATAGTCCAATAAGCATGAAAACTAAATTTGTGCAGTTTACTTAGACTAATTTTACACATAAGATTATTCAAATGTTGTCTTATTCTAATCAATTACCGGAATCCGTCAATTTTAACCATGAAAATCTGCCAAATATGATATTAAACTGGTTTGATATAACAAACTACGTGGAAAAATTAGATCCCTAAGCTTGATTATTAAATTAGTCTCAATGACAGCTCAAGCCTGAGTCAAATATCTTCAAATGTTTTAAATCGCAAGGTCTGAGAATTTGAGCCACGCCCACGGCTTCAATTTGAGACGCAGCTCAAATTTGAGACATGTTTCAAAAACAACAAGGATTTTTTTTTTAAATGGTTAACTTAGTTTTATTCTGGTTAAGATTGCATGTAACTTTTTGAAAAAATAAAAATTCTTTTTACATATTTTATTTTTTAAATGTTGTCTCCTTTGTTTTTTTACCCGGTGCTTCGCGCTGTTAACGCTGCAATATACCATTAACGACTGTGCCGTTAATGATTTCATTAACCATTAAAGCTGTTCATTCTGTAATAACAGTAACATTAACGGCTAGAGCAGTTAACAGTTGTTGAAAATTTTCCATTAACACCTTTATTAAAATTGAGATCGTTAACTAACTAAATGTTCCGTTCTTACCTGTAAAATTAAGGGCTACCTGAAATTTTTCTTTTTAAATGGTTGGAACTAATTGTTAACGGAACGACTAGAAACAGTTGGAACGTTCCCAGCCCTCGCTCTAAACGCATAAATTTAGGGACTGCAAGGGAAGACCTAAAGATGATGAATATTTTGGATGTGGTTGTGAGAACAGGAGGAAGAGACAACTCTCATTCGGCGGAGATCAATCCTCTTCAGATAACGATAGGTAGGATCATTTCTAGATTAACAGGGCGAGTCTTTATTAATAAAATCTTTGGACCTTTTAAGAGCACAAAAATTCTGCTCTGATTTTAAAGGGGCCGTAGACTTTATTTCAATTTATAGTGTGGTGGGTCCGATTCACCAGGGTACCCTTTGTTGAACCTTAATCTAATCCGAAAATATTGTAAAATGAATAAAAATATTTTTAAATTCTAGAACAGCTTGCTTGCAAAGTTTCTTACAATTTCGAATATATTTTTGTGAATAAACTAAAAAAACTCCTACATTCTTAATCAATCAATCATTCAAGTGATCGGACAAAGGATTTGCAACTACATTGATAACCGGAAAACTCTGAAATGAGAAGACGACTTTTAAACTCAAATTAGGACTTAAACTAGTTCAAAGAACATTTGACATTTTACAGTGTAAATAGACCCTTTTCACTTAAAATGTTCTTTGCTAAGTTACTAGTAAAATATTCTTTGTGGCAACATTAAAACGCTTAAGTATTGCTATAACGTCGTCTCTCTATTCCATTGTTTTCTGGTCATCACTGTATGCAAATGAAGTTGCATGATTTACGCTTACGTATTTTACTTAATTCATTGATTGAACTACTCTTAACTATTTTTATGATGCATTAAACGGAGTATTCTATGGTTTAAAATTTAGTTGCAATTCACGGTTCGTCGATCCAACATTTTTCTAGTTTCATACATTTATTTTTTTTATTTCGAAAAATGCTTTATTAAAAGCGATATTGAAGCTGTCTCTCAACTGGTATATATTTAGTGAGACACCCTGTCTTCTAATCCTGCATATAAAAAAAACGATTACTATTTCATTTCTTTCAGGTGCGCAGAGGCAGCTTTGACTGGAAGAATTGCTCAAACCCCAGAAAAATAATTGTGTATATTTTTTAAAGGAATTGAGTTTTTGGCAAAAACTCAAATTTTATAATAACTATATCTTTGCAACTCGGTGTCGTAGTCTTTTGATACAACAAACTAAAAATTCTGTTAGATCAAATAGTCTAGGCTTGAGATATCAAAGGTTTATACCATCAGGTTGAAAGATTATGGCAATAATGAAATTAAATAAAAAATTAAGTTAAAAAATGTTTAATTACCAAGTTTTTATAATGTGAATCTTTTAACTTTCTTAATAATAAAAAAAATTATTTTCATATATTATTATTATTTGATTGTGAATAACTTTATTCTAAAATATATGCAGTAAGACCCAGAAAGCTTAGGAATAGGAGCCGACATTTGTAATGGATTTTAAAAAGTATGCATGATGATTGATGGTGTAATAAAGCAATAGTTTTTATATGCAGCGAGAAAATCAACTTATTTACTGGACATGGGTCTGTTTACTTCACAATTGCTGTGCATGTTACGTTATTTAAAATATTTAAAATCATAACTTGAGTCTAAAAGTCATCTTTTTACTTCACAGCTTTTTAGGTCTCACTGTATTCTATCGGACCATCTTTCTATCCTTCTATCCTTCTATTTTTCTATCCTTCTAATTCTATCCTTCTATCCTTCTATCCTTCTATCTTTTATCCTTCTATCCTTCTATCCTATATCCTACTATTTTTCTATCCTTCTATCCTTCTATCCTTCTATCCTTCTATCCTTCTATCCTTCTATTCTTCTATCCACCTATCCTTCTATCCTTCTATTCTTCTATCCTTCTATCCTTCTATCCATCTATCCTACAATCCTTCTATCCTTATATCCACCTATCCTTCTAGCAGCATAGCCTAAAACAAATTTCTTTGAGGCGCACCACTCAAACGTTTTCTATGCAATCTATCTGATCTATTATGTCTATCTATCCATACAATACACCAATCTATCCAATATCTCTATCCGTCTATTCTGCACCATTAATCTTGCTCTGCATAATTTATATAAATTGATCTAAGTGACTGTGTATCTATCTATCTATCATCGGTCAAATGATGGAAAACAAGGCCATGAATGGCTCGCGGCATTCGAGCAAAAAAGAAAAATGTATCTATCTATCTTCTGTCGGGTAGTAGAGGGTGTGTACTTTAAACATGTTTAAAGGAAATGTTTAAGAATGCCAGCATCATTTTAATATACACAGATCTCGGTGTTACGTTAAATAACGCCCAGGGTAATATATTACACCTGCATAATGTAAAAGTTTTACAATTTTTGACACTTTCACTCACAATGATAATCTATAATAAAAAGCATATTCATAAAGGAACTGAGTCTTTGCCACAAAATCAAATGTTCCAATTCATATATCTTTGCAACGTTATGGCGTTAACATTGGGTTGCTCAGATATAGGAATTAGAAAATCAGAGTTTGTGGCAAAGACTCAATTCCTTTTAATTACTTTGGATTTTTAATTCCAAATTTTACAAACATCCGACTAAAAACAAAATCAAACTATGTTCACCATTATTCGTAACAGGCAAACTTTTCTTAAATCAAAACTTAAATTCGAATAAAAAGGCCAAGATTGGTATCACAAGAACAGTTTATAGATATCAATTTTTGTCAAAGTATGCCAATTTTTTTCAAAAACAATACAAATATTACAAATATTATCAATTCAAAATAGTAGTTTAAATAGAGTAGTTGGGCCTTGGGACCATTGGTAAAACTATGCAAAATTTTGAATCTGACAGTAGTTGTAAGTTCAAACGAACCAAAAAACGTTCGTTATAACGAACAATTTAAAAACCGTTCAAGCTTATATTTTCTGTCAAAGTCAAGTTTGAAGTACCGTAATAAAAGCAAACTTTGAAAGAATACAATTTTGAAATTTGTTAATTTCTCATATTTGTGTCGAGGAATATTACCTATTTTCGTATTCATGCGCTAGGTCAGGCACAATTTTGACTTTTAATCTGTATTCATCCGCAATTTCGTGCAAAAAAATATTTATTTCGAATGAATGCGCAGTTTCGTGCAAACCTTGTTTCGTATTGATACGAAAATGATGCTAGATTTCGTGAAAAAAAGTAATTTCGCGCAAAAACGCGAAAAGAGAGTCTACTGTTTCGTGGAAACCCTGTTTGACAGAAAGAGGAAAGAAAAATGAGTACGCAAAAAATGTAAAACAATTGAATAGATATCCTACATGATGATAATCTAGTGATATAATTTTCCGATAGATGGAGTAAGTTTACAATTTATTTACATTACATTACATCATAGAGAAAAAAATGTTCACAGACATTTTATAAAAAAACATCAGTTGTCTTTCTTAGAAATGTACTATTGCAGTTAATAAAAAACAAATTTAGGTATATACACTACAATATACTACAATACACTACAGTACACTACAATACACTACAATACACTACAATACACTACAATACACTACATACACTACAATACACTACAATACACTACAATACACTATAATACATTACAGTACACTACAATACACTACAATACACTACAATACACTACATACATTACAGTACACTACAATACACTACAATACACTACAATACACTACAATACACTACAATACACTACAATACACTACAATACACTACAGTACACTACAATACACTACAGTACACTACAATACACTACAATACACTACATACACTACAATACACTACAATACACTACAATACACTGATAAAAAGGGACTTTAGGCGTAATTTTTAAGGATACCTTCATATGTGAAGCATGGCATGTTCGATTCTTGGGGACTCGGACCACGAATAATGGAGATAAGCTTTTTTTTCTTATTAATAATTTCATGTTGTTTCCGCAGAAGTGCTTGTAATTTTCAACTTTTAAATACTGTTTTCATAATTAAGAAATGTAATTTCTTATATTCTGGAACTCAGCGTTAATTAACATTTTAATTCGAATTTTTTAAAAACGAGTTTTTCCACAACTTTTGAATACATTTGTTTGAGGTAGCAAAAATAATTAAATTATGAGCCATACACTGCGATGTCTGTCAAAAAAATTTTGTCTATGAAATTCTACCCTTTTAGATTATACGGTCCAGTCCCTTCATATGATTTGTGAAGACGTTGAGACAGAAAGATTGAAATCAATCCTATTCAATTATGCTTCTCCTTCATACTTTCTCTCTTCTTTTATTTCTTTTATTTTGTTTTTTGTTTCTCCTTGATCTCTTAACTTGTTGTCTTTCTTCTTTTTACTTTTCTCAATTTATTCGATTTTTTTACTCTTTTTTGTGTCTTATTTCTCCTTTCTCTTTTACCTTGACGCCTTTCTTCTTTTTACTTTTCTCAATTTATTTCATTTTTCTTTATTTTTTGTTTTGTTTCTTCTTTCTCTTTTACCTTGATATCTTTATTCTTTTTCTTTTCTTAGTTTATTTTATTTTTTTACTCTTTTTTGTTTCTTGTTTCTCCTTTCTCTTTTACCTTGATATCCTTCTCCTTTTTACTTTTCTCAATTTATTTCATTTTTTACTCTTTTTTGTTTCTTATTTCTCTTTTCTCTTTTACCTTGATGCCTTTCTTCTTTTTTCTTAATCTATTAAATTTTTTTACTCTTTTTTCTTGCTGACATCCTTTCTCTTTTTCCAGCATTAGTTTTTCAGTTGAAAAAAGCGTGATGATTGTTACGGTATGAATTTGGAATACAAATTTACTTTAAAAATGAGCCTCAATCATGTGAACAAATTAGAAAATACACGAAAAAAACCGAAACATAAAATTTCAGACATCCTTAAACTTTAATATCGAGACGGGATCTTCTCTTCTCTTCTTATCTTCTCTTCTCTTCTTATCTTCTCTTATCTTATCTTTCATTTTCTTCTCTTCTCTTCTTATCTTCTCTTCTCTTATCTTATGATATCTTTTATTTTCTTCTCTTCTTTTCTCTTCTCTTCTCTTCTATTCTCTTCTCTTCTCTTCTCTTCTCCTCTTCTCTTCTCTTCTCTAATCTTTTATTTTCTTCTCTTTTCTTCTCTTCTCTTCTCTTCTCTTATCTAATTTTATCTTATCTTCTATTTTATTTTCTTCTCTTCTCATCTCTTCCCTTCACTTCTCTTTTCTTCCCTTTTCTTCTCTTCTCTTCTCTTCTCTTCTCTTTTCTTCTATTCTTTTCTATTCTCTTCTCTTCCCTTCTCTTCTCTTCTCTTCTCTTATCTTTTCTTATCTTAGCTTATCTTATCTCTTATTTTCTTCTCTTCTCTTCTTTTCTATTCTCTTCTCATCCTTTTCCTTCTCTTCTCTTCTTTTCTCTTCTCTTCTCTTCCCTTCTCTTCTCTTCTCTTCTCTTCTGTTCTCTTATCTTTTCTTATCTTATCTTATCTTATCTTATCTTTTATTTTCTTCTCTTCTCTTCTTTTCTATTCTCTTCTTATTCCTTTCCTTCTCTTCTCTTCTCTTATCTTATTTTATCTAATCTTATCTTATCTTATCTTTTATTTTCTTCTCTTCTCATCTCTTCCTTTCTCTTCTCTTCTCTTATCTTCTCTAATCCGTCTGTAGAAATTAATAAGTCTATGAATTTAAGAATGCCTGAACTACTCCGTCTGTAATTCTGTATAAAGTAATTAATCTATGAGTTTAAGAATGTCTGAACTACTCCGTCTGTAACTAGTAATTAGTCTATGAGTTAAAGAATGCCTCAACTACTCCGTCTGTAACTAGTAATTAGTCTATGAGTTTAAGAAGGCCTGAACTACTCCGTCTGTATAAAGTTCTTAATCTATTAGTTTCAGAATGCCTGAACTACTCAGTCTGTAAATAGTAATTAGTCTATGAGCTTAAGCATGTCTGAACTACTCGGTCTGTAATTATAGTAATTAGTCTATAAGTTTAAGCATGCCTGAACTACTCCGTCTGTAAATAGTAATTCTTCTATGAGCTTAAGAATGCATGTTATCGGAAGGAATGCCTAGGAGAGAGATCAGTTTAAACAATGCCGCGGAATGAAAATGGA